CAATTGTGAACGAAAGAATCTTAACACATTCAGAGTATTGTGATTTCGGTTGACTACAATGAAATTTATTAAGTTTTTCACAGGTTTTATGGCGATTATGACAATCCAATTACAGTTTCACCAAAGAACGTACCTCAAACGAATTCAAACTGATGACATTTCCCAAGTCAATTTTATATGTTTGAGAATATAATAATCTGAGCTCATTATTGTTAGTCTGGCTAAAATAAGTGAATTTGAACTATGAAAATGGAAGTTGTTTCAGTTGTCAGACGACGTTGTATTACCAATACTATAGTGCTTTCTTGATTAATATTTGAATTGGGAATCAAAATAAAGGGTGGTATTGTTTCACTTCAGTGACAGACTGAACAATAAGGCGAATTTCCATTAATGTTAAAATGAATGAATACAAATATTTTCTAATTATCTATAGCATGAAAATTCCTAATGTCGGAATGTTTGACGATAAGACAGCTCCATACCGACTATCTTTTCAAAGGTCATTTTGAAGTATATGGTAATATAACAAACTATTTTACCAGAAAGTCTAGATAAGTAAATGTATTCAATGAATGAATATATTGTTTTTATGTATCAGTAACTATATCATTGTTCAGGTGTACATAAGAGTCTATAAACAACAACAACAACAACAACAACTTAGAATTGAAAAATCTGTTTTACTTGTCATTTGGTACTTATTCAAAGTAGCTTAGTTTCATTATGAACACTGTTACTAACTACTTAAGTATTACTACTACTCAGTACAAGTTACAAAGGAGTGTTTAGGTTAATCACTCAAAAAAGTAACGTATCATCTGTTTAATATCATTCTAGTTAGATGAAATGCATGTTAAAAACTAATAACTGTATAAATTCAAATGAATGTTCACTTCAGGTACAAGTTACTGTTTAAGTTAACCGAATAGGTCATGTGTACTGTCAATTTGCAATGAATTCATGTACATGTATTCATTTATTCTACTTCCATGCATAAATTGCCTACATGTTTAAACGAGTGCTTGTAATTTGATTCGTTGAATTACAAGTTAATAGTTATTATTATTATTATTATTGTCATTAATGGCTTTATTCAATTTTATATGTTTTGGTATAATATAGAATTCTCATTATGTAGAATTTCAACAAGTTCCCTTTTTTTATTTCTTGATCGATCCTGATGATGAATATTGAATAATCGTCAGTTGGATGTTAGCAGCCCACTGAATAGACATCTAAATAATGTACATTCTTTTCGCTGCATATTGCCAGCAACTACGATATCTTTGATTGGATTTTTTGTATTTTGTACAACGAAAGGTTGTACAGTTTTCAGAAACGTACCTGAATAGATTATGCGATTGATAGACATAATGAGGTATTAAAACGAACAAGAAAACAGATAACTTGTTGAAATATCTAGATGGCAGGAACAGGTAACCCAGATGTCTAAGCAGGCGGCCAAATTCAGGTCTTAATTGAGAATATTGAGTATATTGATTCTCAGTTGAGACTTCATCTTTTTATTTAGACAATCTGTCACATTTCAGTAGAAATACCCAACCATATCTAACACTAAGTCAAATTTTGATGCATTTTTTGTGAAATTTCACTTCATTAAGATACATCAAATCAGCATCTACAAAGATTCATAGATGAAAATGGCCTAATATTTCAGAAAATAGACGATTTTAATCATTTGATTGATTGCATTAAAATCGTCTCGTTATATTCCAACTAGACAAGAATTATTGACAAAAAATGTAATGACTCATTCCTTCATTAATATCTGAAGTGCTGGAACTATTTTCCAATGTACATTACGATATTCCTATAGACGTGTACGTGATTGAAGGTTATACATAATTTTGAAATTTTGTAAAACAATTAGTGAAACATCTATATCAGTCAAAATTGATAATACAAGAAAGTTCATTTTTATGAAATATTCTTCTTTATTGAAAGTAAACAGTGATCGCTGTCATTCAATCGCATTTAAACTGAAGCTATGACCATATGTACACACTACTAATCAGTGTTGATGAACACCAAGTATGCTATACTGTTGTTCAAATGATGAGAGCTTCAAGTTAATGTTTGTTACTTATAAAGTGGGAATAGGCATCATATGCTAGGGCAATTGACGGAAATTTACCATTAACACATGCAATAATATATTTCATGATCTATTGTGATGATATATGTACACAATCTTTTATCTTGAATCCATGACAGACGCGTAAATGTGTAACACAATTTTCTGGAAGAACTTAAGTCATTTCCCAAATTAAAGTATTTTCAGTTGATTGGGTGAAATAGCTGAGTACATGTGCCTATGATAAATTCTTAAATTCTAGACTCGTTAATTAAAATACTTCGAGCGATAAGTATTACTTCTCGGTTATAATTTTCAAGTTCTATCCAACATTGTGTGTGGAACCTCTACAAAACTATTGAAATATAGATTTGACTGTGATAACAGTTGTTCGAGATCTCATGTTCCTTTAAAAGAGCTGAAGTTTAGTGAGTATGAATAATGCTGTCAAATTCTTGATGTTGATCTTGAGAAATGTAATTTTTGTTGTAGCTGTTTGGTGGCTTTAAAAAATGTCTGACAAGTGGTTGTTGGTTTTAAGTCTTGGTTACATCTGTCCTTCATTGTTTGACGACTCATCAATGATACCTCTACTGACATAGTTGAGCGCACACTTGAACGCTTAAAACTGAGTTTGTTGAGATAATTAAAAGTCAAATACCCTAATCTTACTTGTGATGTGTAACAATCAGTTGAATTTGTACTGGAGTTTTTGGCACATGGAATAAGATATGTCATTAACTCTCCAGGATCCGACAGACGATAATGAATGTAGTAACAATCTAAATACGTGAAATTTTATCATTGAACAGTAAATGATACTTCGGTTTAAATACAATGATTGGAAGTTGCTTGTTGGTTGCAAGTTGGTTAAGACTATATCATTGATTGTCCGTATCGGTATTACAATTAGAGTAGTTATCAATAAAGTGAGAATCCAGTGAGAACAGACGAACATTATCTAGTGAACATTGAGGAATATCTATACGAATTCGATCACTTAGAGTATACCATGGCGACGTGTTTGAAATATGACGTAATGTACAGCCGAGTGTGGTTACTCCTAGTATAAAGTAAACTTCAAGTTGAAAGCCATACTCGATTATGCTGGGAGATTTAAATGATAAACATCAGCAGCAAGAAAGGAACTATTTTTAACAGATATATTTTGTTGTCTTACTGGAAACGTCATAACGGCAGTTGAAATTTCTGACCCATTTTTTGAGAAGTTTTGGGTAAGATGATAAATATTCAGGAATAAGGGAATGTGGCTCATTAACTGTTAGATTACATGAGACTAAATGAATGGAGAACATAATGTTGTTCCAGTTTAACATACTGTTTGGATAACGTAAGTATATGATATTTAAAAGAATAGATTTTTTGTGTTTATCAGTTGTATGTCAACGATTCAGATAGTATTTCTCCTCAAGATTTCAGTGAATATTTATTAACTACTCTAAACCTTATTCAAACATCACGTTTCATTATAATGTCAATTGATTTAATTGTTTCTGATTCCGTGTGTTCTACTTCAAGCTATGAACTCTTAGTTTCTGAGTTTATATGTACTGTTTATCAGTTTCCTACTCTCAGAATTCTGATTTACTTTTGCTATAAACGTCCTCCTGCAGGTCATACCCTTTTCATCTTTGCAATGACTGATCTCTTAATTATAGATTCGTTTCTCGACTTAAAATATGCAGATCTTCATATCTGTTTGGTGTAAATGGTGACATAATACAGGGTCTCTTGATCACTTAGAGTTACGACAAAAGTGTTGTTTAGGCGACTCATTGTGGAATCACTAAGTAAACGATATTGAGTTTATTTAAAAGCCTTTTCGGAAATTCAGTAATTTGGTTTATGAGACTGAATCCTCATCAATAAAGTGTTTCGGACTGGTATCACTTTAGTCAAACCACCGTCAAGTTAGGTGCATTATACTGACCGATGTAGAATTAGTCTGTAAGGAAACTGATAACGATTAAGATCTACTGGACTATTGTGGTCAACTATAGAGATGTTGAATGACATGGTTTAGAATCGATCACATTTGAACAGATACATTCACATTTTATCATTCTCTAGATCCTGTGTTCACAGAGGCTTGTTAAAACACCTATGGATTCTATATTTCTTATCATCATTTCAAATCATCGTGCTAATATGGTTTGGTAGCTTGGTATGAAACAGGTTCGTGCACGTTTATGCAGTCAGTCAGTCAATCAGTCAGCAACAACGTAGATCTTCGTACGTACATACATTATTTCGATTTGCCATACCGCACTAGCACAAAGATACAATTGTAGATTCAAATCTGGTAGTGGTAGAGGTAGTAAAAGTATAAGCAGTATTCGGAAATATTAGGGTTTGATGATGTTAATTAAGGAGTACAATCCAGTGAAATCAAGTTGGAAAGAGTAGGAAATGGGACATGAAGAATTCAGAAGATTAGAATTTGGGAAAACAGAAACAGTGGGTGCACCTGCACCATTGCAAACGATTTTGAGCCATGTCATTCAAGATCTCTAGCCACAGGTTGCTATCGTCTCGCGGATCCCAACCAGGTAGTCTACATTTGTAGTGTTGGTTGACATGTTAAGCCCATATACCTTATTCTGGTTTTCGGACAGGCCAATCTATTCATTCTACTTACTCGATGGTCCCAAGATATACGAGCAATACTTCGAAGACACCTATGATGACTATTTGCAAAATACTTTGAACAGAATAAAACAAAACTTATCAGACAAATCAATTTTCTTTGCTTTATATTTAAACTTTATTCATATAGCAACCAATTAAATGTCAATACAATTATGTAATAATCTAATAAAAATACATTTCTAAACTAATATGATTATTACAATGTAATGAACACCTTCAAACATGATTTTGTTTAAAATGATAGAAGAGCTGAAATTGAAAGAAAGAAATTTCCAATCATTCTACACATTTAATAGATTGATGAATATAACAATATGTAAAGGTAAATATGATATTCATTTACTCAATATAATAATCACCTAGTGTAATATTTGTTTCTATTCAGTATAACATACGATATTCTTGTATTCAATGAACATGGACCATGCTCGGTATGATATGTACCATGTGATTTTCTTATAACTCTAATTACTTTTGATATATGTGATCTCATCTGGTGTTAAGAAATCTTCATCGTTGGAATTGCAGTGGTTCCTTGTTATTCGAGTATAAGTGATAAGTGATAATACATCATTGGATTACTTACTTACTTACTTACTTACGCCTGTTACTCCTCGTGAAGGAGCATAGGCCGCTCACCAGCATTCTCCATCCAACCCTGTCCTGAGCAATCCTTTCCAGCTCTTTCCAGTTCTTATTGATCCTTTTCATATCTGATTCTATTTCCCGACGTAATGTGTTCTTTGGTCTTCCTCTTTTCCGCTCCCCTTCAGGGTTCCAAGTTAGGGCTTGCCTCATGATGCGGTTTGACGATTTGCGTAATGTATGTCCTATCCATTTCCATCGTCTTTTCTTAATTTCCTCTTCAGCTGGAATTTGGTTTGTTCTCTTCCTCAGAAGACTGTTGCTGATGGTATCCGGCCAGTGGATGTTGAGTATCACATATTATTGAATACATATTTAATCTATCCATCATTATAGAGTTTATAGCAACTGAAAGATCTGTTGTCTTTCATCTTATCCGTCAACCAATTCCAAATATATTCATTGACTACAAGAATTAATCTAACGGTGAATTTATTGAATCTGACATAATCAATTGTTTTAATAACTACTACATATGTTTCATTCGTCGTATTCTCAAGACAAGTCTTAATAGAACAAGTCAATCTCAGATAATATCACATTACAATACCTGACATAGGGATGAACACAAAATAGAACAAAAATATTGATTATTAAGATAAATTAGAGAGAAAATTTCATTCGCATTACCATTAAATGTCTTTGCTATAGATATTAACCCATCAACATTTCTCGCAGCGAAATCGTAAATAACTGAAATATCAGAAGAAACTCAAGTCAATATTTTGTAAAATAAAATGAATATTTATTGTTAATCTATCATTTTCACTACAGTGTTGTGGATATTATTATGTTTTTGATTGAGATCATGAACCGGTTGATGTTAGACCACTGCTGAGGAAGAGTCCCACAATAGGACGAAACAGCCGTCCAGTGCTTCCAGGTCTAGCATCAACCGGTTCATGATCTCAATCAAAAAAAAATTATCATTTTATTGGAAGTGATGTTAACTTCAAGTGGTTAACTGTTTAAACAAACTTAATAAGCCATATTAACATCTTTTTAATTTTTTTTACAAGTTTTCATAGTTCTTTGATTTACTACTACATCATTCGTATGGTATTAAACGAACGATTTGTGTGTGTATGATTAAGAGAATTCAGAATATTTCACTTTGTGATCTCAACAGTTACATTGTTAGAAAAAACACACAATAAATTAACTTGACTTTGTTTGTTTGTTTGAATCTTCCCATTGATATTCAGGAGTGCCGTTGATCAGTCTCTTAGCGGCGAATGTGCATACTGAGCCTATTGCCTCGATATAGTCTTAAATCACAAGCATTATATGCAAAAACGGATAGTGGCTAGCAGAGAGATCTAGGATGCGCGTTTCGTCCAGTTTGGGACTCGTCAGCTGGACGCACCTGCATCTCAGATTTGATGTTCACTTTGAGACTCGAACTCAGTACCGTTCGTTTCAAACGCCTTCACGTTATCCACTTAGCTACTGAGTCCTGATAGTCACATGCTTGTGTAATGAGGTGAAGTTTAAAATCACTTGGTGTTGTTTGCTTGAATCCTCCAATTGATGTGAGTCAACATCTACACTGAGATGCGGGTACATCTAGCTGACGAGTCCTGGACTCCACTGCTAAAAACATACAATGTTGTGTGACTTTTACTTACATAGTCCATTGTTTAACGACTTCACATTCTCGTATATTTTAGCAATCAAGTTATCTAGATTCGTAATATCTGGAGAGAGGGAAGAAAATGCGATTTGTCAGTTTTAGGAGTGTTATACAAAATTCATCTTGACTTATCATCCATTGTCAGTTAGACACGAAATAAAGTGTTCAAATTAATGACTTTGAAAATAATTATCCACTGCATTTGATAGTATCTAGTTGCTGTTTCCCTGTCTATTAATAGATATGAAGTGTTTTCTTCAATTATGTTTCATAACAAAAATCATTACTTTTGAATTAGGATATGAGTGGTGACAATATTAAGAACGTCATTTTGAATGGCAGGTCATCGTAATTATGGTTAATTGATGAAATATCATTTTATTTTTAAGCTTATTGTTTTCATTTAAATGTCGAATGTGAACAGAAGTTTATGAATTTGTGTGATTTGTACAAGGACTGTGAATTACGTTAACAGGGTTTTGAGCAATTAACTTCTTAGATGTTCTGTTGTCCATGTAATATTGATACGTTTATACAGTAAACTATGTGCAAACTCCAACTTTAGCATTACCAACTTACAACTGTTACTCTCGCATGAAGCATTGGCCGCTAACCAGCATTCTCCAACCCACTCTGTTCTGGGCTATCCTTTCTAGTTCTATCCAATTTTTGTTTATTCTTCTCATGTCTGCCTCCATTTCTCAGCGTAATGTATTCTTTAGTCTTCCTCTTCTCCTTTGGCCTTGAAAATCTCAAGTGAGGGCTTGCCCTGTGACGCAGTTGTGTGCTTTCCTCAATGTGTGTCCTATACACTTCCGGCGCTTCTTTCTGATTTCTTCCTCCACTGGGATTTGGTTTGTTATCTCCCATAGTAGGTTGTTGCTGATAGTATCTGGCCGACGAATTCGAAGTGCTTTGCGTAGACAACTGTTTAAAACACTTGTATCTTCTGGATGACGGCTTTCGTAGTTGTGCAAGTTTCCGCCCCATACAGTAGAACTGTCTTGACATTTGTATTGAACATTCTGAACTTAGAGTTGGTTGACAGTTGTTCTGAGTTCCAGATGTTCTTCAATGTAGATATGTTGCTCTTGCTTTGCCGATCTGCACCTTCACATCTGCATCAGATACACCGCGCTCACCGGTGGTACTGCCCAGATATATAAAGGTTTTTACATATTTCAAAGCTTCTCCGTCAATTGTGGTTGGATTGGTGCATATTGTGTTGTATCGGAGAATCATGCTTTTCCCTTTTTGTATGTTGAGACCTACTACTGCTGAGGCTGCAGCTGCACTGGTCTTCTTCTCCTGCATTTGTTGTTACGTGTGCGACAGAAGAGCCAGATCATCTGAGACTTTAGCACGATGGAGACTAATTTAAACCTAATCATGAACATTCAAAACACATTTGTATAATTTACATCAAGCGAGAAGAATATCGTGAATTCATGGTGTATCTAGACTTTCATAAGCTGACAACAACCTAAATTCACTACGGTGAAATTGTTATAAGCAAAGTTTTATATCCTGTAATTGATGAAGTTCAGTTGAATATTGTTTCAAGCTTTGCATAGAGTCACATTACAGATGTCACTTTAGGCCAATTGCAGTGGAACACATGCCTTGAATTAGTATGAATTCAGTTCATTCTGCAAATCGTATTCTGTTTCATTTGTTAAAATTGATTGAGCGTTCAAAAAGTATAAAACTTTTGTGAAATATGATGTTATCATCTGAGCAACTCAAGGAGCTTATCAGTGTTACCATTTTGTTGCAAGAATCATTCAAAGGATTTATTAATAGACGAAGGTAGTAGACAGATAATCATTTCATTGAAATCGTGAACCAATGAAAGTCAAACAATTATTGATAAACTGAAAGCATTAAACGTGTTTGATTCCCACTTACGATGTCATACATAAGCACTGTTGTGGAGTCCAATACTAGGACGTAACATCTGTCAAGTACTTGCCGGTTTTCGCTAGTTGTCAAACTTAGAACAGCTTTTTTGATTCCAATTAAATTCAACAATCTGCACAAACCCTTATACTTTTCATACTGTTATATGATAAAGATCACTTGTTTTAATTTACCTTCTTCAGCGAATGTTTTGAATTCATCGCACTTTTCTTCACTGTCCATTAACTTTCCTCCTGTAAAGAAAAAATGTTTACAAAAAATTGTTTCACTTGACTTCGCCTATATTATTGGTTTATGCAGTGAACAAGAACATAAGTGGGGACAATCGAATGTATTTGAACATGATCTGATTCTTTTTATTCTGCTTAAATCCATCTATCTATCTGACAAAATTTATCTGTCCATCAAATTCTATCAAATGTGACTAAGTATTATACATCAGTTTTTCTTTAATGTGAACTGTATAAGTTCTGTGTTTTATGAATTAAACTCAAATGTTCTTAGCCAGTATCGTAGTGGTGATCATTTCGCTATATCAATGCAACTCTTGTATAAATGATGATTCCATTTAATGCTATCTCAAACCTTGGTCTGAATGATTAGTTAACCATACTTTCTAATATCATATGTAATTGATCCACTATGTGTTGGTTATTTTATTGTACTTTCATGATAAAATATTCATATAAGTGACCTCCATAATTATCTGCGAGACTTGTCAATACTGTTCACTATGAATTCGAATTGAACGGAATGATTACAAGAAAGCACGAAACAACAAACACTACTTGTCTTTGAGTTATGGATACGGAAGTGTTTATCTATAATTTGTTCATTACCAATTTGTCTATGGTGAGATGTCATTTATATTTCCTCAATTTACAAATGAGTAATGACGACTCTTAAATCGAACGAAAAATGTATATTTTATTATGATGGAGTTTTGTTCTGTTAGATGGATGATTTAGTCGTTCAGAAAAACAATAAAATCTCCACGACTAAACTATCCAGCTCAGTGAACAAAACTCCATCAAAATCATCCACCTGAGCTACAAATCTTCTCCACCATCTCAAAATTATATGAGTGTAGTACGTTTCTTGTTGTTCGAAAATGGGAGTATTTTGCCAAAAGGCAGGCTACCACCACGAATATCTTTGTCAACATGTTCTACCAACAAGTGTAAGATACAGACCTCTAACCAACTGCTCATTGGGATAGAGAATAACTGAATAAAGTGAGAAAAAAATGGTACACTTAATGATAATGTAAATGTTATTAAGGTAGCTACATATTCATGAATATTTTCACTGACTTTCTGATATCTCTAATTGTTCTTTGAGGCAATTCATCGGAGTTGAAATACTATCAGCTATTGTTTTAATGAAATACAAGGAAAGTAGAAAAAAATTAACTTCATAACACAATAGGAAACATACTATCATGACAATTAACTGCAAAGTTAACTTCAATTCAAACAGAGCATTGCCATAAAAGCAAGTGTCGTAAATAGAATGTTTCTGATAGTCAGATTGTATATAATATCATATAGATAATCATGTAAAATAAGAAATCATACACAATGAAATCATCTTCAATGCTGTTGATTCTACTAATTCTAAAAGATTGAAATGAAAATAAGTAGTTATTGATTATTTATTTGGCATGTTAATTGAATAAAAGAAGATGACATCTAACAAAAACAATATGGAACTTTAGTCTAAGTTAATTGATAAAAGAATATACAATAACAATGATATAGTATACAACAATGATGGAGCTGTTATATGAATAGTCAAACTTCACTACCGTTTCATGTTAACATGATACTTGTAAACAACATGCGTAAACATTCTAATAAGTAAAGAATATTTGAATATCAGACAAACTACAAATGAATATGAATCAACTCTTCAACAAGTAAATAACTTTCTTCAGTTAAAATAATCTTGAATAGTAAGATGCAATAGTAAGTATGCAAACAAATAACCGTCAACATAAAACCGTCATGTCAAGACCAAGAGAGATCAGAGGAAAAGGTAACACCAAGATAATTGACATTCAACACTGTGTTTATCAATGAGTCTCTAATGGCACAAGCATTATAGGATTTCAAAATGGTGTCTAGATGATGTTCATGTATCATGCTCAAGTTAACAGCTTGACATTTAGACATATTAAGTATGAGACCATTAACAACAGACTAACAATCAATACGAGACAAAAACTCATTCATTTCTATGGGATGTAAAGAGGAAGAGATAGGCATACATACAGTGAGATCATCCGTATATTTCACAAAAGTGTTTTCAATTGAACATTGTTTCCTGAAGTGTTCTGAAATATTCAGGAATGTTATCAGGGAAATCCCACGAGCGGGATCGTGGATGCTCACAGCTGAGTGCTGAGGAATCCCACAATAGAATGAAACGGCCGTCCAGTGCTTCCAGGTTATCAATGGTGGTCTAACATCAATCGGTTCATGATCTCAATCAAAAACTTAACAATCTCCACAACCCTTAAATTGACATAATTTTACAGTTTGATTAAGCTTTCCGAAGTTATTGTAATGAACATGCGGAATAATTTATGATCCAATTCAATTTGGTTAAAATGACTGAAATAAATCATTGTAATGATATATGTACATAATGAGATTTGCATATAAACAAAGTTTATTTTATAATATCTGTTAAAACCTTTGAGAAATCCATGGATAGATTCTGCTTTTCGTTGTCTACGTTTACAGCGTATATCTAAAATCAATCATGTGATATGTATGGACAATTATTATTATTTGATTATACACATACACTTTTGAATTGTTTCCCAGTTTCCCACTTGGTTCTTCTGAAGGTCCTCTAAAACAAACAGACATACATTAATACATAAAAATGTATTTAGTTTTTTTAGCCAAATAATTATTTGAGTATGAGAGATTGATACAGTTTATTGTTTACATCATAAACTGATCTCATTTAGATAATCATTGTATACTAGAAAACAACCAGTATGAGACTCTTGAGCAAAGTGGATGCACTCCTTGTTTTGATATTTAATAAGGTGATGTTTGTGGACTACTGAGAGTTCCATGCAAGAACGAAATAGCTGTTCCATGGATGTTGGTCTCTGATAGTTGTCTAATTAGAATTAGTCAGTGATGTAAACTATGATGATTGATATTTATCAGTTTATTATTCGTCAATTTAGGAAGGTATCCGTAGACATCTTAGTTAATTTTATGTGATACATATCATTTAATACAGAGACATACATTAGAGCAGATCCAGGAATCTTGTATATACAATTGATGTCATCGCTTGATTGTAATGGAACAATTACATTCATGTAATCTCATGATTTGAATCTTGACGGGGAGATTTATATATTTCAGAACATTCAACTAATCAATTTTATGTTAGAAATACTAATAGTGAACTCTGTTCGAAATTCTTTGGACTGATTATTAGAAAAGGGAATTTCAATAGAACATCATTCAAAATGATAAGGCAAATAAAATATACATACTTATTCGTTACTATACACATCTCAATGTACTATGCAATGAAAGTCTGTTTAAGGGTGAAAGGTAAAGGTTGGTTTATAAACCTATTCGTATTAAACAGGTTTTTTATTTCAAAATTAGAAATTACTCCATAATTTACTTACTTTTTTTGGCTTTTAATAATTTTTTATTTTCTCGAATATTATTTGTACTTTTCTCAACATTATCTGTAATGTAGATAATTGTAAACATTCAATAAAAGTGTTAATGTAATAAATCAGATTAAAAGTTGACAGTTTCAATAATCAATATTGATGTCGTCTTCGAGAAAAACCCCTTTCTGATAATACCATGATCGTTTGTAGAGCACTGTGAAACCATTCAAACAACATCAAGTGAATTTAAACTTCACTCAATTGCACAAGCAAGTGGCTATCAGGACACAGTAGCTAAGTGGATAACGTGAAGGCGTTTGAAACGAACGGTATTGGGTTCGAGTCTCAGAGTGAACACCAACTCTGAGATGCAGGTGCATCCAGCTGACAAGTCCCAAATCGAACGAAGCTTGTGACGTAAGCCTATATCGTGGCAATCCGCACAGGATGCACATATGCCAACATGAGACTGATCAATTGCAGTCCTAAATAACGATGGGGAAATACAACTAAAACAAAACCGAGTGAATTTACCAATCATTACTGATATATTAAGTAAGCACGATCACAGATTTATATTATTAATTATAGAAAACGAGCAGAATAGTCGTAATTTGTAAAACATGTTGATAGTCCTTATAGTAAACTACTGTTACAACAGTAGTCTATTTTCCTCTTACATTCAATGATATCTAAACTATGGTGATTTTGAGGTAAACATCATAGAAATCATTTCAAGTGATATGAGCAGAGGTCTAACTAGATTTTATTCAGATTATTCAAAACAGATGTCAGTATGTGTAAAGTCTTCCTTCACAGATTATACAAATTATAACATACCTGTCACTTCTTTGAATACTTGCAGAGCACCTAAAGAGAAGAACAGAAATCGTCTATACTATTACTAAAGTATAATAGTATTGAATTAGAATAATAACGTTATCATCAATGCTTACTCTTAAAAATACTCACCAAAAAAATGTAACATTGTTATTGGAAATGTTTTATTCAAGTTGATGTATGGGCGAGAATGATAATGACTGGTTGTTTGCTTAGTCAGAATGGTATATAGTCTGACAGGAGTTAGATGAGTTATATATTCCCCTATCCTTATTATTATTATTATTATTATTATTATTATTATTATTATGGACTGAATATTGGTTGCTGTTGGATTGTGTCGGTTTGTTGTTGGTTTTTGGTGTGGAAATATATTTACGTTCTATCAAGGCTAATCACGTGTTCTTGATCTGAGTTGTGTTGAAGTGTTATGGAATAGACACTAGGAAGGAATCTAGTGTAGATATTCGTCTAGGGTAAATTAACATCCCATTCGTGTAAACGTGGAAAACTAAGCGCTGTAACATAAGTAAATAAATCACTGTTACAGTTAATCACTTAAACATGATTGGATATTCTACTTGAAAACAGAAACTAGTTAATAGCTTCAACGTAGTAAATTGTTGACAAATATATGAGAAGTAATTACTAGGTAGTACTAGGTAATTACGAATCGACAATGAACTAACTAAATCCTAATTGCATATTAAAAACACTGATTTAT